CAATTTAAATGAGCATAAGAGTGGCGGTTGTTCAGTTACCCCTTTTTCAAACTAGAAAATTTTGTTCTCTCTGTTTTTGTCGCATGGTAACTGTATGGAATGAGGGAATATTGAATGTGGTACTTATTTTTCTTATCGTTTGGATGTTAAACTGGAAAATGTTTTCGGTGTTTGGGTAAGGTTTCATCCACATCAACTTTACATTAGTTCCCGTAACTGTGAAAATGTATCATCAAATTAGTTCCCGTAACATATAGTTTTTTCTTCTTTTAAATCAACATTGCTTGATGATGAAATGCATATTTCGTTGTGCAGTTGGCATGTCTTAATATCAATGCCAGCTGAGGGGGACTTGGATATACCTTATTCTCTCAAGGCAGCAGAAGAAACACCACTTGATCAGGTATGTGGCTGAAATTTGTCAGATTATCTGTTCTTATCCTGTTCAGTAAGATTGTTTTAATTAAGTGAGCTATAAGTTAGTTTTAATCTTATTGATTCACAATTTTGTCAGTTTATCATTGATTTTACTAACTCAACCTTTTGGAAGGTCGGTTGATGATGCATGACGCGCTAATTATTTTCATGATGGATTGAGGGATATGTTTGGATCTTCTCGACTAGGCCCTGAAGTCAAACGCAGGCAAACCATCAGGGCAGATAATGTTCCTGCTGCTGAAAGGGAAGCAAATGAGGCCGCAGGTATATTCATCATTGTTACTTATGCTCAAGGGTTCCAAACATTGCCAAACATCCAATAGAGTCTGCTTATCATTGTTTTGTTACTTATTCATCATTTCTCTGGTAATTGGTTTGTTCAGATTTCTGATGCAGTGGTGGCTGTCTTTAGTTATAGTACACGACAAATGTGATGGATTTTTTTGATGATGTAATATGCATATTCTTTGGGGAAAAAGAAGAGGAAAATGTAATTTAGCTCATCGCCTTCATTCACGTATTATTCCAATGTATTACATCCATGGATGATTCTCTATATCTATCTGACTATCTCTAAAAAGAGTTTGTTGAATAGAAATTAACAAATTTCCTGTGTGAAAAATGAAATGCATATGCTTCTCCCTTTTGGATAATCATATAACTGTGAGCATTTAGTCAATTTTTTCACTCTAGAGATAAGTGAGAACCTATTGTTACATAGATGTGCTACAAGTTTTATGTGTTTGCCATATCAACCTATTGTAGCATCTTCCTTTGCATTAGTGATACTGTTTTAGATGGATTGGAAGACAAATGGATAACTTTTACTTAAAATACGAACATTCAATTTTTGCAGGGGCACAAGTTTGATTCCAAGCAAGCTAAGAACCAATTGCATTTAACATTCTTTTCCTATTGTGATGAATTGGTAAGATACTTCGATTAGCTGTTTTTAGATATGCTGAATATTGGCCTTTTTGTAGTTCAATGTTAGCATTTTGTGGAAGGTATAAAGTATTCCTCTTCCTTGTTGTATGTTGCTTTAATTATTTCACCTTATTTTTCTTGTTGTAATAAAGAAATCAAGTGCTTCACTTAACCATGATAATGAAATTAAGATCTTAATTATTTTATCTTAGATAGCTTTATGGGTTGCCTTTGCATTTATACCATACGAAGGATGTTGTATCCTTCATTCGTTTGACAATGTATATTCTGATACATTTTCAACTTGATGCATTTCTTTTCTCATTCCACTAAATAATTTGTCTCTATTTTTATTGATTTTTGTATGATCTGTGTTTGAAGGAAGAAGTGCTAAAAATTGTTAAACCGCAACACTTTTTACCTATCCATGGAGAACTTGTATTCCTTAAAGAGCATGAGCTGCTGGGAATATCATCTGACATTCATCATACTGCACAAAGCTGAAAATTATGTACAGTGTTAATTTCATCAATCCATGATGGGTCAATCCAATTTTATGTACACTGTCAAAAAATGGACTCAAGAAGGGCCCTTGGACCCCTGAAGAAGATCAAAAACTCATTGATTTTATACATAATCATGGCCAAGGCAACTCTCGAAACCTTCCAAAGAATGCTGGTAATTTTCTTTTCTTTGCACTTTGATGTATTAAATATTCACTTAAAGTTTTGCACATAAGATTGGACTTAATGTTACTATTATTTATTTATCTCCGTTGTAAGTGCATGAGGTAATGGTCATGTAAGATATCAT